GGGCGGAGGGGAGCAGTGGTGCCCAACGCGGGGCGGAGGGGAGCAGTGGTGCCCAACGCAGGGTGGAGGGGGGGCGGAGGGGAGCAGTGGTGCCCAACGCGGGGCGGAGGGGAGCAGTGGTGCCCAACGCGGGGCGGAGGGGAGCAGTGGTGCCCAACGCGGGGCGGAGGGGAGCAGTGGTGCCCAATGCAGGGAAGATGGGAGCAATGATGCTCAGCGCAAGGTAGAGGGGAGCAATGGTGCCCAGCGTGAGGTAGGGGGAACAGTGGTGATATGGGGATAAATTTTGTATTAGAGGCGAGCACTTACATTGCACAGAAGTCTGGGTCCCACACTGTTGCTCCCCCCCTCCCCCTCTTGCTGCTGGGACTATACACTGTGGGGCAGGATATTCCTCCACCCCATGAAGTCTGCATAGAGATGAAGCCAGGTGCTGGAACAAGGACTCTGACACTCCGCTCCAGGACACAGCCCAAAACCGCGGGTTGTCGGGATTGTATTGATATCCCGGGTTACTGTCCTGCAGAATCTGGGACAGTTGGGGGGTTATGCTTTATTTGCAGCACAACCAAAAATATCTCCGTCCGTCAACACAAATGTTCGTACGTAATGATGACCAGTCAGCAGCAATGAGCAGCGTTGCATTATCGTTAATAAGGTCAGTGTTGTAAATATCCCGCCGCTAGTGCTGGTTAGAAATACTCATCATTTATTCACACTGCAGCCTTTATAGTCCTGGGGAAAAAAAGCGGAACGAATTCTAGTAGATCTGAACCCTAATTGGATGACATTTTGTTTGCTCTGATCTGCCGTATCATAAATAATTGTCATCTTTTAATAAATAGCTTCTTTTTTTTTTAATTCTTTTCTCCATCTCAGCGCTGCTGAACTCATCCCCATAATTGCTTATGGAGTGTCAGAATGTAGGAGTAGTCCTGCAGACTGTGTCGGCACAGCCAATTGACAGGGTGACAACGCAAGAGAACAATTGGGAGATGGGCAGAGTGTTGTCACCCTATAACAGGAGAAGTCTGAACAAAGCCATTTGTGGCAGGATCACCAGGAGTTATTTCTACTTCTTGACTGGGTTTACGGTATATGTACTAATGTCATAGGAGCTGTATTGTTCTGTTTGCTGAGAGGAAGATACAAGGAAAGTCTAAAGTATTTTTAGTGAGAACATATTTTGGGCAACAATTATTTGATTTTCCTGAAGTGTGTTTGTAATGTAATTGTTAGCTGTACCATTCTGCCTTTTTACCTTTTTGAAGGTTTATATGTACTGTCTCTTGTAACTATCTGTATGGCATTGCAGTCATTCAGCCTGCCTGATACAGCAGTTGCAAAAGGACTCAGGCATGTAAGGAATGCATTTTTACCAGTCAGTCAGGCCTGTGTGAATGTTGCCACATCAAATGTCCTCAGGCTACGTTTTCTGCATATCGAATGTTGTTCTTTGGGGGGGGGGGGTGTGAACGTGGAAAATACTACATTATGGCCATTAGATGGAGATGAGGAGCTTACTTGCTTCCTATGATACTTAGCACCACCTAGCTGCCATAATGTGGTATTTTCCCCATTCACATTTTTTTTCAATTTATAAAATTTGCAAAAACTATAACCTGAGAACATTTGATTTTGCACCAGTTGCACAGAACAAATTCCAATGCATGGGCGAATAGCTATGCCTTTTTTTGTGTATAAATAGGCTTTGTGGGGAGGAACAGCAATGCACAATCACACCCAGGGGCGGACTGACATATCATGGGGCCCCCGGGCAATAGGGGATCATGGGACCCCTGTGTCCCCGCCCACACTCAAACCACACTCAAAAAAGCCTGTGAAAGGTACCAGGGGAATCTCATGGGGCCCCCTACTGACCCCGGGCCCTCGGGCAGTTCCCAAATGGTCATTCCGCCCCTGATCTCAGCAATACTTGGCAGCAAGCAGAGCTTGTACATTACAGTAAGCAAATCTAGTCATGTAGAATTTTTACATATACAGTACAAGGAGAAAGGTGGCCTGATCAACAACAGGACACAATGACGCAATTATTTACATGTATAGAACAGTAAAGGATCAGGGCAGCTAATGTCACTGATATGACTTTCCAAATTCCACCGTAACCTGCAGTAAGTCATCGCTGACCCCGTACCAGGGAAGACATATATACAGCGGGGAATTAAGGACGCAGATGACAGAGGATGACCCTAGCTCTGCGAAATATGCCGACTCTTGTGTTTTGAACTCGGCGTCCATTCATGCGCAGCTAACCATTTCAAACCAAGCAGAATGGCGCTCGGGGGAAGAGGGATATCAGGACGCCAGGATGAGAATCCGCCATGCTATTGCGGCCCGGGCCAAAGCTGGGGGGGGGGGGGGGGGGGGGGGGGGGGCGCTCACTCAGCAAAACATTGAATTATTGATCAAGAAGATGCACCATATGGACTAATTGGCCTGTAATTATTTCTGTAAGAAAACGAGGAGAGTTATCAAAGGCTGAATTCTGCACAGGAATCCCACAGTTGTTACATTGTATCACCTGTGCGAGGAATTGTCATTATTGGAACACTTCCTCTACAGCGTTTCCAATGATGTTGGGGATCCTCCATTAAAGTGTTACTAAACCCCGGACCCTGCATTCACTATATCTGGTCTCCCCGGACCCTGCATTCTCTATATCTGGTCTCCCTGGACCCTGCATTCTCTATATCTGGTCTCCCCGGGACCCTGCATTCTCTATATCTGGTCTCCCCGGACCCTGCATTCTCTATATCTGGTCTCCCCGGACCCTGCATTCACTATATCTGGTCTCCCCGGACCCTGCATTCACTATATCCGGTCTCCCCGGACCCTGCATTCTCTATATCTGGTCTCCCCGGACCCTGCATTCTCTATATCTGGTCTCCCCGGACCCTGCATTCACTATATCCGGTCTCCCTGGACCCTGCATTCACTATATCCGGTCGTCCCGGTCCCCGCATTCACTATATCTGGTCGTCCCCGGACCCCGCATTCACTATATCTGGTCTCCCCGGACCCTGCATTCTCTATATCTGGTCTCCCCGGACCCTGCATTCTCTATATCTGGTCTCCCCGGACCCTGCATTCTCTATATCTGGTCTCCCCGGACCCTGCATTCTCTATATCTGGTCTCCCCGGACCCTGCATTCACTATATCTGGTCTCCCACAGTACACACTACAAGGAATTATTTTAGCAAATATAAACTAAAAACCTTTTCTAATCAGCAGTATAGAGCAGTCTTGTGACTTCTATCAGTGTCCAGAAGAGCACATGTTAAAGCTTGTAGGAGGAGTTTTCATTCTGCTCTAGGAGGATGCAGGACCCCTGACCTCTGTCTGGGCAGTGCTGATTGGCCCTGTGCTGATCACATGCACTTTCCCAAGAAAAAAACCCCCAAAAACCTCTCTAGCAATACACACCAAACTGAGCATGTGCAAAGTGATGCCACACGATATGTCTTATCAGGAGATAAGAGGGGGACACTGGAAGAAGGGGAGGATCAGAGAAGACAGGATCAAACAGCCTTTTTACACAATGCAGTGAGTATAACAAGCATGCTTTACTGCATATACAGACTGATTGTACTGTTGTGGGTTTAGTAACACTGTAAGGTTATCCATATACCAACTTTGAGGACTGCTGAGATAAAAAAAAATCAATCAATAGTGCAGTCTGCATACAAAATGAACATGTGTCATTACTTCAGTGATAGTATGAGTGTGTGTGTCAAATCACGTAGAATATGTCAGTGTTGTTTTAAAAGTCATTTTTGGTCTTTTTAAATCTTAATCCTTTTTTTTTTTTTTTTTAAATAATTCCTGGTGATCCTGCCATGAAGGTCCCCATTCAGGCACTTCCTTTTATAGGGTGACAATGCTGTGCCCCTGTTTCCCAATTGTGTTCCTATGTTGTCACCCTAACTTCCAAAGGAGACTACAAGTTTCAACAGTCATGGTCCCCTGTTGTCACCATCAGGATGTAATGACTCCTAATTTGCAGATTTGTTCTGTGTCAGGAATTCAGCAAGCACTGAAGACAAGACAGACAAATTATTTTTCAGAGGAGGGGTCAGCTATGATGGGCTCCATATTTTCTCACTACTTGTCATTTAGCAAATGAAAATATAAGGGGGCCCATATGATGAATAAGCTATCGAGGATCATCTTCTTGTTTTCTGCAGCATGAATACTTCCACTGCCATCATTCTGTATGAGATACTCCAAAGATCTATTATAAGAATCAGGCAGATTGTAAACTTTGGGTGCTAGGCTGCGCTACAGTGTGTGATGGCATGAAAGCCTGCTTAGCTACAGTATGTAGTGGCATGAATGCCTGCTTAGCTACAGTGTGTGATGGCTTGAATGCCTGCTCAGCTACAGTGTATGCTGGCTTGAATGCCTGCTCAGCTACAGTGTGTGATGGCTTGAATGCCTGCTCAGACAGCTACAGTGTGTGATGGCTTGAATGCCTGCTCAGCTACAGTGTGTGATGGCATGTATGCCTGCTCAGCTACAGTGTGTGATGGCATGAATGCCTGCTCAGCTACAGTGTGTGATGGCTTGAATGCCTGCTCAGCAACAGTGTGTGATGGCATGAATGCCTGCTCAGCTACAGTGTGTGATGGCATGTATGCCTGCTCAGCTACAGTGTGTGCTGGAATGTATGCCTGCTCAGCTACAGTGTGTGCTGGAATGTATGCCTGCTCAGCTACAGTGTGTGCTGGAATGTATGTCTGCTCAGCTACAGTGTGTGCTGGAATGTATGTCTGCTCAGCTACAGTGTGTGATGGCATGTATGCCTGCTCAGCTACAGTGTGTGATGGCTTGAATGCCTGCTCAGCTACAGTGTGTGCAGTCCTGTCCATTTTTTTTACATTTTACTGGTTGCCATGGCCTGACTCTATCTACTACTCATACAAAGTACAGCTCACAGCCACCTCGGTGAACTAAGTTTTCTTTTCAACTCTCCTTCCAGGGAAGACATGGACCAGGAGGAGAAGGCGCGATTTGGCGAGCTGTGCAGCTCTGAGAACGGGAAGGGAAGAGAATGGTTTGCCCGCTTTGTCAGCGCTCAGGTAAAGGTGTACTATATGAAGCATCACTCTGACGGTGTCCTGTCAGTCCCGCCTACATTTTTTTCCAGAAGGATGGCACCATCTTTGTTCAGGCATCATCCAGGGTCTCCTTCTAATTCCTGAACTGAGATGCCTGTAAATCCTGGTGCCTGTGAAGTTCTTGGCTGTGTTCATAAAAATCTGACACAGATCAGCCCCTGCTGCAGCCTCTCACCTTGTGACTTGTTATAATGTACAGTCTGATCACTGGGGGTGGGGAACTGAGGAAATGCTTCCTCCTGCCTGCAGCAGATTGATGACATCATGGTCTGCTGTCAGTCGTTGGAGTTCTTCTATAGGATTGGTGGTTGGGGACTGTTTTGCCATCTGTTTGTGGCCGTTCTTGAATTGTAATCCGTTTCTCCCCCTCTCCAGCGTTGCAATTCGAAGTGCGTCTCGGAGCAGACCTTCTACCGGCTGGTGCAGTCCTTCGCGGTGGTCCTGTTTGAGTAAGTGCGCCATTTCTGCGCGTTGCTCGCGGTTGGGGAAACTGTTTCCCGGCTGATTCTCTCTCTTTCTTCCTGTAGATGCCACCAGATGGATGATTTTGGTCCAGCTAAGAACCTGATGACGATGTGCTTCACGTACTATTACATCGGTGAGAGCTCCGCCTCCTACATATAGATTGGCAACTTATGTATTAGCCAATAACAATCCTTTCCTGGCACATGTAATGGCTGCCTGCGATCCCCATTCTGCAGTCATGCTCATACCATATTCTTTACCTCCACCCTCAGCAAATTATTTTATGCCTCATATTATACAGAAAAGATCAGCACTACCATTCAATATTCACGTAGTTATAGCCATTCTATGAAGAGAAATGAAATGCATTAGTTGAAATTCAGTGAACCCGAGCATTCCAACGCGTTTTGTTGCATAGAATGAAACGTTTGGAAGAAGAGGAAATTATACATGTATGAAGCACTCACGACAAGCATTTGTTATGATGGCCTGGCCAAAGGTTGGGAAGGAGGGGGGGTCAGAAGGGGCAATTATGCACCCCCCCCTTTTCCCCAGCCCTCATAACAACAGCTATTCCTGATTAAGCTCATACTAAGCGAAATGCGTCAGAGGAGCCCAGATGGACTGACCATGTACCAGGAGTTTGTTACAATTCTTTAACAGCACAGTGGCTAAATGGTTAGCACTTCCGCCTGGCAGCACTAGGGTCGTTGGTTCGAATCCCAGCCACGGCATCACCTGCCTGGAGTTTGCATGTTCTCCCTGTGCCTGCGTGGGTTTCCTCCGGGTACTCCGGTTTCCTCCAACACTCCATAGACATGCTGATAGGTGAATTGGCTCCTGTCTAAATTGTCCCTAGTATGTGTATGTATGAATGTGAGTTAGGGACCTTAGATTGTACACTCCTTGAGGGTTAGGGACTGATGTGAATGTACAATATATATGTAAACTGACGGCGCTATATAAGTACCTGAAATAAATAAAAAATAAACAGGAGAGGGTAGTGAAGAACCCCAATCCATGATTTGCCCGTTAGGAGAAAATTATCTGGAGCCGAGTGTGATTTTTTGTTTTCACATTTTATGCCTTACTTTATGTATCCATTTGTGCCCTATTGGTTCCATTGTACTTATTACATTACCAATAGTGGCAGTCCTAGTGAAAATTTTGGATTTTTAAAGAGGACCTGTCAGCACAATCCAATCTAGTATTATCCAAGATACTAGCTGCTCCCAGACTCCCTCAAGCAGGGGTCTCCAAACTTTTTAAACAACGGGCCAGTTTACAGTTTTTCACATTTTGAGAGGGCCAGTCTGTCATTGAGTAGAAAATGCCCTAGCGTCAATGGGCATAAACAACACCCCATCGTTTGTGTCATAAGGAGGAATTGTGCCCCTTTGTTAGTATCAGGGTAAGGAATAATGCCCCATCGTTTGGTGTCAGTGGGAGAAATAGTGACCCATTGTTGACTTCAATAGGAGGAATAGTGCCCCATCATTGGTATCAGTGGGAGGAATTGTGCCCCATCCTTGGTATCAGTGGGAGGAATAGTGCCCCATCATTGGTATCAGTGGGAGGAATTGTGCCCCATCCTTGGTATCAGTGGGAGGAATTGTGCCCCATCATTGGTATCAGTGGGAGGAATAGTGCCCCATCATTGGTATCAGTGGGAGGAATTGTGCCCCATCCTTGACTTCAGGCAAAGGAATAATGCCCCACTGTTTGTGGGTGGGAGGAATAGTGCCCCATTGTTGGTATAATTGGGAGGAATAGTGCCCCATCATTGGCATCAGTGAGAGGAATAATGCCCCTCGTTGGTGTCAATGGGACGAATTGCCACCCGTTGTTGGTGTCATTTTTGTTGGTGTGGTGGGAGGAATAGTGCCCCATTGCTGATATCAGTGGGAGGAATAATTGTTGGTGTCAGTGAAAGGAATAGTATCCTACTGTTGGCATCAGTGGGAGAAATAGTGCCCCATCCATGGTATAGGGGAAGTAATAGTGCCCCATTACTTATATCAGGGGAAGGAATAATGCCCCATCATTGGTGTCAGTGGAATTGTTCTCCCTTGTTGGTGTCATTGGGAGTAATAGTGCCCCAAGGGCCAGATCTAGGCAGACAAAGGGCTACATTCGACCCCGGGCAGCAGTTTGAAGACCACTACCCTAGGTCTTATGATCTCTGGCTACCTGGAGAATTGTGGGTATTTGAGATCATTAGAGACTGTTGTCCCTTTTATATTTTAAATATATATAGCTTTTTTTTCCTGAGAGAATAGGTGCAGGAACTCCCCCCTTCTCAGTTGCTTCCTTACTCTTCCCCCACCTTTTTACCCACCTTTGAGTTTAGTCCTTTGGTTCTACCCCTTACCCACCTCCCAGTACTGCTCCTTCTAGAGAATACAACAACTGTGGATCCCACAACAAAATACCCCGTCAGCAACAATTGACCCCAGCAGAAAGAAAAGATCTCCCAACAACCAGCATCAATAGACTCTCCAACCAGTAGGATATAAGTCCCCTCCCTCAACAATAGACCCCTTCCAGCAGCAATTGACCCCCCAGCAACAGTAGACCACGACACAAAAATAGATCCCCTCCAGTGACAATAGATCCCCCAGCAGCCAGTGTCAACAGACCCTCCAGCACACCCCGGCACCTCTTGCCATTACATACATGCTCTGCTGGAGGTGCCGGATTTGTGTTCCCCCACATTCCCACTGAAAATATATATATATTTTATAATATGCCATATATATATACAGTGAGGAACAGAAGTATTTGAACACCCTGCGATTTTGCACGTTCTCCCACTTAGAACTCATGGAGGGATCTGAAATTCACATTGTAGGTGCATTCCCACTCTGAGAGACAGAATTGAAAAAAAAAATTCAGGAAATCGCAAGAATTCAGGTTCTCAAAGACCTGTTACTGTGCCTTTAAAAATTCCACCTCTACTCCACTCATTAATCTAACTTAGTAGCACCTGTCTGAGCTCTTTAAAGACACCTGTCCACCCCACAGTCAGTCAGACGCCAGCTACTACCATGGGCAAGACTAAAGAGCTGTCAAAAGACACCAGAGACAAAATTGTGGACCTCCACAAGGCTGGAAAGGGCTACGGGGCAATTGCCAAGCAGCTTGGTGAAAATAGATCAACTGTTGGAGCAATTGTTAGAAAATGGAAGAGGCTAAAGACGACTGTCAGTCTCCCTCGGACTGGGGCTCCATGCAAGATCTCACCTCGTGGGGTATCATTGATGATAAGAAAGGTGAGGAATCAGCCCAGAACTACAAGGGAGGAGCTGGTCAATGACATGAAGAGAGCTCGGACCACAGTTTCAAAGGTCACTGTCGGTAGAACACTACGCCATCATGGTTTCAAATCCTGCATTGCACGGAAGGTTCCCCTGCTCAAGTCATCACATGTCCAGGCCTGTCTGAAGTTTGCCAATGACCATCTGGATGATCCAGAGGAGGCATGGGAGAAAGTCATGTGATCAGATGAGACCAAAGTAGAACGTTTTGGTCTAAACTTCACTCGTCGTGTTTGGAGGAAAAAAGAAGGATGAGTTGCATCCCAAGAACACCATCCCTACTGTGAAGCATGGGGGTGGCAACATCATGCTTTGGGGGTGCTTTTCTGCTAAGGGGACAGGACGACTGCACTGTATTAAGGAGAGGATGAATGGGGCCATTTATTGTGAGATTTTGAGCAACAACCTCCTTCCCTCAGTCAGAGCATTGAAGATGGGTCGTGGCTGGGTCTTCCAACATGACAACGACCCGAAGCACACAGCCAGGAGAACCAAGGAGTGGCTCCGTAAGAAGCATATCAAGGTTCTGGAGTGGCCTAGCCAGTCTCCAGACCTAAATCCAATAGAACATCTTTGGAGGGAGCTGAAACTCCGTGTTGTTCAGCGACAGCCCCGGAACCTGACAGATCTAGAGGAGATCGGTGTGGAGGAGTGGGCCAAAATCCCTGTTGCAGTGCAAACCCGGTCAAGATCTACAGGAAACGTCTGACCTCTGAAATTGCAAACAAAGGCTTCTGTACCAAATATTAACACGGATCTTCTCAGGGGTTCAAATACTTCTGTTCAGCAGTGCAAGACAAATACATTCTTTACAAATCATACAATGTGATTTCCTGAATTTTTTTTTTTAAATTCTGTCTCTCAGAGTGGGAATGCAGCTACAATGTGAATGTCAGACCCCTCCATGATTTCTAAGTGGGAGAACTTGCAAAATCGCAGGGGGTTCAAATACTTCTGTTCCTCACTAATATATATAAATATATATATATATATATATACACACACACACACACACACACACACACATATATATATATACACACACACACACACACACACACACACACACACACACACACGTGTGTGTATATATATATGTGTGTGTGTATATGTGTATGTGTATATATATATATATATATATATGTGTGTGTGTGTGTGTATGTGTATATATGTATATATATATATATATATATATATATATATATACAATTTTCACAGTAATTTTTTTTTTTTTTTTTTTTATGAGATCCGTGCCCCTTCTCTTCCTGGTGTGCTAGTCCGCTTCCTCCATTGCCTTATCCTGCCTAGTTACTCCTCAGGCTTCCAATTAACCCCTGCAGTACATGCCTTTAAATGATCGCCCCCTTTTATTCTGCAGGGAAGCCTCACGTGTCCCCCACAGAGTCGCGGGAGAAGCCAGTGAGCACTGGCAGCATTGACGCCTATTTTAAGTCTGCCAACAGCTGGCTGGCTGAGAAGAAAGACAATGTGGAGCGGCTACTGAGGACCACCTCCGTCACCACCGAGAACATGAAGGGCTTTTTTGGGGGGCTGGAGAGCAAACTTAAGGGACCGCTTGCCAAGAAAAATGGGTAAGAGATCCGAATGGAGGCATGCAAGGTTTCCAAGTGTGATCAAAGCTGTGCAAAGAGCAATAACCAACCAGGAGCCAGATGTACCGCTGAGACCGCCAATCCAGCATTTCTCATTTCCACTTTTTCAATCATACTTTGGGTATTGTATGCTGTGTGAACACTGACCAGATTACAGGTTTGTTTCTCAGGATTAAAAGGATACGTTTGAAACATTGTAGCAGCATGTGAGCAATGCCAGTCCTTCAACTTAACCTGTTGCCACCCGCGTAACGTGTGTGTTGCGGCTTTAGCACCCACAGTTCGCACATATGTGTCACTGGGCAACTGATGGCTTTGTGCTGAGAGCATGTTGGCTACGCACTCCCAGCACAGAGACTGAACTGTCAGAGAGAGCTCTCAGTCCGAATGAATCGATCAGTAGCAAATGGTACAGTGGTCACATGATCACCGATTCCCACCTTGCCAGGCACCCAGAACTTTTTAAAGGGGCACTGAAGATGGTGGGAAGGGGATAAAGTAGATGTATTTTAACATCGGACCATCGCTGCACAGTGTGTGTCTGCACAGCCACTGGTGGTCTCTACCAGAGGAGCGTGTGTCAGGGTGACAACCCAGGACTATATTATGGAGACAGGGAAAGAGCGTAGTCACCCTATAACAGGAAGTCCCTGAAAATGGACATTTTGTGGCAGGATCATCAGGGATTATTTTAACGAAAGCTACAGATTTACAAAGATTGGAAACAGCATTTGAAATGTTATTAAAGTGGTTGTAAACCCTTACCTATACCCAGTGAAGTGACTGGCCTCATGTGTTACTTGGAGGTGAAGCAATTCCTCCTACATTAGTTGTACCTGATTATCTGCAGTCTTGACTTTTCTACATCTGTTCAAAGTACTGAATTTATAAAGTGTGTCTGAGCTGTCAGAGAAAAGGGGGAGGAGAGCATAAATTACACACTGCAGAGCTCAGTGAGGAGAGTTCTGAGAGCTTATTGGAGGGAAGGGACACCCCCCCCCCCCCCTCACATAGCACACAGGAACAGAGTTGAGGCTGTCAATCTGCTGGAGACTGGTGTCAGGAAAACTCGTCAGAAGTGATTCATGCTGATAGCAGAGGAAAGAGGCAGCAGACAGAATTGAGACTTAGTGCTCTGGATTGAGACAAGTACACAATGTAGAGGGATATGCTTTGTTCATATTTCATGTCTCGGGTTTACAATCACTTTAAATCTGACCTCCGGCCTTCCATTCAGTCTTGCACAGTTGAACCAGCTCCTCTCTTGGAATGGAATGGCTTATTCTGATTTTACTGCATACTGTGTATTAGAAGCTGCAGCAAGTTGGATAGAGCCGCCTCATTTCCTGGCTGGAGGATGTCCAGCATTATATAGCTCTTTCCTTCCCAAGGTGACTGCTTCTGGTCTGTCCCTTTTTAATTCATTGCATCAGGACTGAGGGCTCTTTAGAGGAGTACTGAGGCAGGGTACTATGATGTGCATAGGAAGCTATGTACAGCACCCTGCTTGCCCCAACAACCAGCCAAGATCTGCCTGAATTGCTTAGAGGAGCACAGAGACCCATAAATGACTTGACTGGGTCTATCATAAAGTGTATAATGAAGATAGAATTTTTTTTTTCATGTCGATGAGAGGGGAGTAACCAGGGAATGCAAAATATAGGTTCATTAAAATTTCTCTTTAACACAATAAAGCTTCTTTACGACTTTAGTGATTGGGTTACACCCACTAAAATGAGGTGTTAGGATGTTTTCAGAAACTAAAATGCAAGCTTGTCTGTCTTGGCACAAACACACATCTACTGGTACTTGCGGGCACTTTTTATGTTTTAAATTTTGACATGACAGGTTCACTTTATAAACCTAGGGTATTAAATATTTTTTTTTTTCCTTCCAGCCAATCTGAAGACTCTCCGAGAGAGAAGCCGTCTGATGACAGTGAGTGGGTCCCTTCCCATTGTATCTCTGTGTAAGTGTGTTGCATCGTCTTCCTGTGCACTTTGTGAGTTCTCACCCGTCGTCGTTTGTGTTCAGTTCCCCTGCAGAGTCCCGATGACAAGAAGGGGGAGAAGATTTACCTGTACTCACATCTGAAGCAACAGCCAATCTGGTAAGAGGAAGGAAACGTAAAGCGAAGTCAGTAATGAGCGTTCTTCAGTGACCTCTGTAGGGGAGAACTGCTAAACCATTTTATCCTAGGTTCACATTGATGTGGTTCTGCGAGCCAAGTTTTGCACAGGCATGGAAGCCCATTAATTTGAATGATCTGACTTGCCTCCAGAAGCACAAGGAGAAGGTCCCTGCTCTACTTCTGGAATCGCAGCCCACACGGGAACTGCAAGTGCAGTGCTGCTCCCTGTACTGGAGCGATTTCCAGTGCATGTGGTGTGTCTTTAGGATTAATGGATTTCCTGTGAACCTAGCATAAAGGAGAACTTATAGTTGGGATAGTTACATTGTATACAGCTGAAGTCACTCAGTATAAGAAATTATTATTATACAGGATTTATATAGCGCCAACAGTTTGCGCAGCACTTTACAATATAAAGGGAGACAGTACAGTTACAATACAATAAAAAACGAGGACTAAGAGGACCCTGCTCATAAGAGGTTACAATCTAATAGGGTGGGGCAAGTGGTACAAAGGTTTATAACTGTGAGGGATGAGCTGATGGAAGTGATAAATGTTAAATTGGAGGCCTGATAGGCTTCCCTGAAGAGATGAGTTTTCAGGGATTGATTAATACAGCAAGAGTAGGGGATAGCCAGACAGATTGAAGTAGAGAGTTCCAGAGGATGGTGAGACTCTGTCAAAGTCCTGGAGATGAGCATTAGGGGAGGAGACAAGGGAGCTTGAGAGCAGGAGATCAGGAGAGGAGAGGATGGTTTGAGTGATATTGGAAGACAAGATTGGTGTTCCCTTTAACTTCTGTTCTTGTATTGAGAGAGAAGGAACTATACACCTATTGAACCCTGAGGGCAAAATGCACCCCTCCATTCTCTCCTCCTTTTTCTGCATAGGTTGCAGGTTCTGCCCTTTTTGTGCCCCCTTCTGCTAAAGTGCCCAAGACGGCTGCCTCTTCTGCCTACCGACTGGCCCAGCTCAGACTGTACACCACCACATTTAAACCTAAAAAATGTTACATCAAGTTAGTTGACAGTACAGCTAGTGCTCTTAGGTTCTGGAAAATGTCTCCTGCCATCATAGGAGGCAGCTTTGTGAAGTCTTCCACTTGTTTTTGACTGTTAGAGCTGTGGGGGACACTATAAAGAAAAAACAATATCATTTTTTACTCCTGTACCTGTTAGGTTTGTGAATCAAACCTTTTATTTTTGAGTCATCATGGCTCTAACACAACAGGCAGTGGCATAATGGGGGTTGCCAATGTCTGGGGAAAGGCAAGTATTGCACCCCCTACCCTGTCACCAAGCGCGCTCGCTCTCTCTCTCGCTCGCTCTCTCGCTCTCTCGCTCGCTCTCTCTCTCGCTCGCTCTCTCTCTCGCTCGCTCGCTCTCTCTCTCGCTCGCTCGCTCTCTCTCGCTCGCTCGCTCGCTCGCTCGCTCGCTCGCTCTCTCTCTCGCTCGCTCGCTCGCTCGCTCTCTCGCTCGCTCGCTCGCTCGCTCTCTCTCTCGCTCGCTCTCTCTCTCGCTCGCTCTCTCTCTCTCTCTCTCTCGCTCTCTCGCTCTCTCTCTCGCTCTCTCTCTCTCGCTCGCTCGCTCGCTCTCTCTCTCTCTCTCTCGCTCTCTCTCTCTCTCTCTCTCTCTCTCTCTCTCTCTCTCTCTATATATATATATATATATATATATATATATATATATATATATACAGCAAAGTGGCTACATGGTTAGCACTTCCATCTGGCAGTACTAGAGTCTTTGGTTCGGATCCCAACCATGGCACCACCTGCCTGGAATTTGCATGTTGTCCCTGTGCCTGCGTGGTTTTCCTCCGGGTACTCCGGTTTCCTCCAACACTCCATAGACATGCTGATAGGTTAATTGGCTCCTGTCTAAATTGTCCCTAGTATGTGTATGTATGAATGTGAGTTAGGGACCTTAGATTGTACACCCCTTGAGGGTTAGGGACTGATGTGAATGTACAATATATATGTAAAGTGCTGTGTAAATTGACGGCGCTATATAAGTACCTGAAATAAATAAAAAATAAACAGGAGAGGGTAGTGAAGAACCCCAATCCATGATTTGCCCGTTAGGAGAAAATTATCCGGGTACTCCGGTTTCCTCCCGCACTCCACAGACATACTGGTAGGTTAATTTGGTCCTGTCTAAATTGGCCCTGGTATGTGTATTTATGGCGATATATAAGTACCTGAAATAATTAAATTATATATATATATCCCTAATTCGACCCAACTCAAAAGATCATATTTATTTATTTCAGGTACTTATATAGCGCTGTCAATTTACACAGCGCTTTACATATATATTGTACATTCACATCAGTCCCTAACCCTCAAGGGGTGTACAATCTAAGGTCCCTAACCCACATTCATACATACACATACTAGGGACAATTTAGAAAGGAGCCAATTAACCTACCAGTATGTCTTTGGAGTGTGGGAGGAAACCAGAGTACCCGGAGGAAACCCACGCAGGCACAGGGAGAACATGCAAACTCCAGGCAGGTGGTGCCGTGGTTGGGATTCGAAAAAACGAACCTAGTACTGCCAGGCAGAAGTGCTAACCTCTAAGCCACTGTGCCGCCATGTGACTTTCACCAAACATTCACTGGTGGTGAATCAATATTTTAAAACACAAACAGCAGGAAGATTCATCTGCAGTCAATGATTTGGTGAATGTCAGATTCACTGCTTTAGGAATATGCCCACAAATGTTCATGTTTTAGCTGACCTTTAATAGGAGTCTTGTGGCTAAGCTGATGTGTGCTGTTTGCTGTTTATGATAGGCACACACTCAGGTTCTGGAACGCGGCATTTTTCGATGCGGTGCACTGTGAGAGACGGAAGCGATCGCCCACAACCAGGTGAGGACCGTGTAGGAAAGAATGAAGGAATAGAGACAAGCAGAGCGCAAAACAAATCTTCCTTCCCCCTCAGTTCTATCAGGCGGCCATAACACTGAGCTGCCTAGAAGAGCATGAACAATAAAACATAAGAGTGACTTCACTCCAGGACTGCTGGGGGACGTTACGTGTTGTAAATTTCACAGTCTTATCACTGGCAGCTTGCTCTGGGGAAACGCCATCTGTGAGGGGCGGTGGCTGGGAAATGAGATTTGAGAAAGTTTGTCAACACATTTTAATTGGAAGATCTGCAGGAGAGTGTGGTTGGGGCTGAATCGCATTGGGCCTTGGCTGGTTGCCACCTCTGATTATTTTTTTGGGTGGAGGTGATTAAAGGGAAGGGGGAGGGTGTTGTCCAACATGGCCTTGGTCCAGTTGTGTTGAAGAACATTTACGGAAAAGATTAAAGTGTATGTAAACCTCAAATAAAAGCGGTTGTAGACTACTTGGCTTTGTCCTTCTGTGAGACAATCTCTGCATTGTGTATGAGATCTAGGAAAGCCATAAAATAACTGGTGATCCTGCCATTCCCCTCAGCAGAGAACCCCTTTCTCTTTGTTACTGACCACACTAAGCATGGAAGCATATCTGTCCATATGTGGTCAGTTTGCATCTCTTCTGATTTCAGGACACAGTACCTGCAATCCTAAAGTCAGATGACAGCTGCCATTTCCCTGTGTGACAGGAGCTGCTGCTCAGCATTACAGCTGCTGCACCCCATCCTGCCCTCCATAGTGTGACAGACAACAACTCCTACTCAGCATTACAGCTGCTGCACCCCCATCCAGCCCTCCATAGTGTGAGTGACGGCAACTCCTGTTCAGCATTACAGCTGCTGCACCCCCATCCAGCCCTCCATAGTGTGAGTGATGGCAACTCCTGCTCAGCATTACAGCTGCTGCACCCCCATCCAGCCCTCCATAGTGTGAGTGACGGCAACTCCTGCTCAGCATTACAGCTGCTGCACCCCCATCCAGCCCTCCATAGTGTGAGTGACGGCAACTCCTGCTCAGCATTACAGCTGCTGCACCCCCATCCAGCCCTCCATAGTGTGAGTGACGGCAACTCCTGCTCAGCATTACAGCTGCTGCACCCCCATCCAGCCCTCCATAGTGTGAGTGACGGCAACTCCTGCTCAGCATTACAGCTGCTGCACCCCCATCCAGCCCTCCATAGTGTGAGTGACGGCAACTCCTGCTCAGCATTACAGCTGCTGCACCCCCATCCAGCCCTCCATAGTGTGAGTGATGGCAACTCCTGCTCAGCATTACAGCTGCTGCACCCCCATCCAGCCCTCCATAGTGTGAGTGACGGCAACTCCGGCCCAGCATTACAGCTGCTGCACCCCCATTCAGCCCACCTTAGTTTGAGTGATTGCTACTCCTGCCCAGCAGCTTTTGCACCTTTCACCCCCCACCACTTCAAGCTGCAGGGAGAAGAGGGGATCACGTGGTCATGTGACCGCGGATAATCAGGTGATATACTTCATGATGGTTCTACTTGTATTTGTTTTCACTTTACATACACTTTAAACTCCTACTGACGAAGGGAGTCGCTCACCAATTGGCCAGCTTGCCTAAACGCTAGTGCATTAAATACATTCAGTAGGCCGTGCCCAGTTCAGTTTTTACAGCAAAATAGTTCAGTTTCTAGTTCAGTATTGATGTATATGGAGAAAAATAAATATTTCAACAAGGAGAATATTTTAGTATTTCCAATGGAGAGAGAGGCTGGGTGTTGGGAGTCCTGTCACAGATGCAGAGCCGGGTCTGGGGTACCATCTTGGTTGGCACAGTGGATGTAAAAATTAATACACTGAACTCTGCAAGGACTCATTCACACCAGCCGCTGCATTGCTATACATCAGCAGGTGTACAGTGTGGCCCGGCTGGACCAGCGCTGTGTTAAAGCCGTAATACTGGTGTTTTTTTGGGCTTTTTTGTTTTTTTTTTTTTTCACCAAGCTTTATTGACATTGCTGTCAGACACCATAGGGTGACCCACACCGCACTAGAAAGGAGTGCTTCACACAGTACTTTTTGCAATGTACACCTCCTGCTCACCAAAACAGCGCAGGGGTGTGAGACAGAAGACAAGGTACATTGCCTGGCATAGGAGGTACGGTGGGACTGTGCTGGAATAGCCACCCAATGCAGTCCCACCACACCTGGACCCTTAGCCACTAAACAGCCCCCTATGTGAGTCTATAGAAAGAAGCTGAGCCCGCCATACACTTGCAGATTATCAGCAAAGTGAAAGTGTCAGGAAGATTCTCCTGGAAGAGTGTTGGCCCCTCGGCTAATGTTACAATGGGACAAATTGCTACTTCAGGACTGTTGTGCAATTACGCTGCGCTTTTAGTTTGTTTTTTGGGGTTTTTTTTACCACCTGATTGGTCCTCAGTTTTGTCAATGGTGCCAAAAGATTAGATCAAACTGATATGGCAATTTCATTGAGTAGCTAAATCTAATAAAGATGGAGACCTACAAAAAAATAAAAGAGTTGTTGGCTCAGTCATTGTGTTTATGGCTAGTATATATCTTTCCCGGAGAATCACTACATTTGAGTTAAAGGTTTTTTTTGTTTTTTTTTTACAATTAAAACATCAGTATATACATAGGTGGATGTTCACACCCAGGAAAATATGCCCCAGCCAGTCATGTGCTGGCTTTTATGGCTGCTAGGCTGAAGAAAGCTGCTGATTGGTCACTGCAGTCCTACAGAAAGTGGAAAATGACCCTTTTGCAAAGATCGTAGGGGAGACCTTAAAATACAGGTATAACATAAAACATGGCCCAAGAGGTAGACTCTGCCTTTTAGGGTCAGTTTTTTTGTTTTCAGCTCAGAACTTTGAACACACAGCGACCTTCATCTTTAGAATATCTCGCCCCACCCCCCCAAGTAGTCTTTTTCCTGTGTCATGATGAAATGGTCATACCCCCCACAGGTTGGCATTTTGTGCATTGCGGTTATAGTCTGCTGCAGTAAGGCCAAGACCCCCCCCCCCCCCCCCCCCGGAGCCTTTTTATAACCCTTTGCTCTTTCTCATTAACCAGACAACCTTCTTCTCATATAAAGAAAAAAATTATGATAATAAGATTTTAATCACCGCCATAAAATAATCTTTATAAACATGTTGACATTCTTCCTCTAATTGGCCTTTTCGCTGTTCCTCCGAGATCGCGTCTGCTCGGGCCCTATTTGGCTGCATCTTTACTACCTGCGCTGTCATCTGTGGCGGTTAATTGCACTGAGAAAGCGTCACCAAGGGCCATCTGAGTCAGCCGAACAGCTGCCTGTTATCGTACACTGGATCTCGCCTGACGTAGATTCTGGCATTTTATGGCGTTTTTTTTTTTAAATATTCATCCGCACAGTTGGAGCGAGGGGAGACTTTACAGCTTACATTGAGTTCTCTCACTTATTCCTGGAGAACTGATGGGGTGATAGTTTCACAACCTACAGAGCGAAGCTCCAGTGTACTCTTCACTTGACAACTTTTTTTAACTCTTTTTAAGAAATTTCCCAGCAGTACTTTGTGTCTCTGCTCCTCCCACAATGGGGAGATTTCCCTGCAGTAGTTTGTGTCACTGCCCCTCTCACAATGGGGAGATTTCCCTGCAGTAGTGTCTCTGCCCCTCCCACAATGGGGAGATTTCCCTGCAGTAGTGTCTCTGCCCCTCCCACAATGGGGAGATTTCCCAGCAGTAGTGTCTCTGCCCCTCCCACAATGGGGAGATTTCCCTGCAGTAGTGTCTCTGCCCCTCCAACAATGGAGAGATTTCCCCCATTAGTGTCTCTCCCCCTCGCACAATGATGAGATTACCTGCAATAGTTGTGTCTCTCCCCCTCCCACATTGGAGAGATTTCCCCCCCAGTAGTTTGTGTTTCTGCCCCTCCCACAATGGGGAGGTTTCCTGCAGTAGTTTGTGTCTCTACCCCTCCCACAATGGGGAGATTTCCTGCAGTAGTTTGTGTCTCTGCCCCTCCCACAATGGGGAGATTTCCTGCAGTAGTTGGTGTCTATGCCCCTCCCACAATGGTGAGATTTCCTGCAATAGTTGTGTCTCTCCCCCTCCCCATTGGAGAGATTTCCCCCAGTAGTTTGTGTCTCTGCCCCTCCCACAATGGGGAGATTTCCCTGCAGTAGTTTGTCTGCCGCTCCCACAATGGGGAGATTTCCCCGCAGTAGTTTGTTTGCCCATATGGCATATATAGTGTACAGATAAGCAGATGCATAACAACCAATCAGCACAAACCATTGTCCTGGGTGGTGAACATCTTCCAGCATGTTAGCGGGTTCTTTTAAAATGACCGCAGAAAAGTCAGTACTGGGAATTAAAAAGGAAATGATTGTCGGCTGATTCAAACTTTTTATTATGCAGACTTTACTATTATACCGGATTTATATAGTGCCAACAGTTTGCTCAGCACATTACAAATCAAGAGGGTTAGGAGGGCCCGGCTCCTGGGGACTTACATTTTAATAGGAAGGGGCTGGTGGAGCAAAAGGTAATAACAGTGGGGGACGAGCTGATGGGAGAAATAAAAGATTTGATTATTAGCTGAAGGCAGGATAGGTTTCCCTGAAGAGATGAGTTTTCAGGGATTGCCTAAAAGTGGACAGAGTAGGAGATAGACTGGGGTAGGGAGCTCCAGAGGCTAGGAGGGGCTCTGGAGAAGTCCTGTGGACAAACATGAGAGGAGGAGACAAGGGAGCTCGAAAGCAGGAAGTCTGGAGAGGACGGTCGACAGCACCAAACTGAAGGTCCAAAATCAAAAATCCTGTACTGGTACTTACATCACCGTAGACCTGATGCATGGAAACTGTGTTGGGCCCCCGAAACGCGTTGGTGAATGTTATCCTGTTGTGGACTAAAATCATTGCTGTCACAGTAGAAAACATTTCTTCTCCAGAAAAGATCCACTTTTTTTGTTGCTTTTTACACCTAACAAGGGGGTGGGACTATTGAGGGTGGGTGGGGTGTCGATGATGTCAGAGTTTGCCGCCTCTTTTGCCAGTGATGTCATTCTTTGTCTTGCTCTAACCTTTCACCTTTTGCTGAATCTGTTTCTGCTGCTGCTCCAGAGGGAATGCTGGGGAGGAAGAGGAGGAGGAGAGGTTGGTCCCGCTATTCTCATTGGCTGCGATAATCTATGTACATGTCTTTCCGCTTCACGCTCAGATCACACAGGATGGAAGAGGCACAGGCCATTTTACAGGCTCAGCCAATATTCACCCAATGGGAGAGTCTCTCCTCTGAGGCATGAGGCACACGCCGCCTCGTGCCTTAGTGATGGAATGGCTGTCTGGTAATGCCATTGGGTCCGTTTTCCTTATTGGTTCAGCTGGAAAAGTGGCTGCTCAGGTGTTCTGTGTACTTGTATATAGCCAAGACTTTTTTATTTTGGATGAAATGGGGAATAGGGTTGACCAGGGTGACCTCTCCAGTATTCACCCGAAACCCCAAGCAGGATGACCCACCTAATGGAATTCACAATGTCCTCCACCTGCTGCAGCCATTCTCGTATCTCATTCTCACTTCTGAGATTTTCAGTGATATTACATGACAGAGGGTGCAGCAGGAGGAGTGAGACTTCAAAGTGGCGGCCATGGTGGTCCCTTTTGGAGAGTTGGTTCCTCTAGATCCATACAGCCGTCACTAGGGAGCATGTATATTATATACAATGTATCTGATACATATATATTATACAATATACAGGTACAATCTATAATATACAATATAAAGGTACATCTATAATATACAGGTACATCTATAATATACAGTATAGAGGTACTTCTATAATATACAATACACAGGTACATCTATAATATATAATATAAAGGTACATCTATAATATACACTATAGAGGTACTTCTATAATATACAATACACAGGTACATCTATAATATATAATATACAGGTACATCTATAATATACAATATCCAGGTACATATATAGTGTACAATATACAGGTACATATATAGTGTACAATATACAGGTACATCTATAATATACAATATACAGGTACATCTATAATATATAATATACAGGTACATCTATAATATACAGGTACATCTATAATATACAATATACAGGTACATCTATAATATACAATATACAGGTACATATATAGTGTGTACAATATACAGGTACATCTATAATATATAATATACAGGTACATCTATAATATACAGGTACATCTATAATATACAATATACAGGTACATCTATGATATACAATATACAGGTACATATATAATATACAGGTACATCTATAATATACAATATACAGGTACATCTATAATATACAATATACAGGTACATCTATAATGTACAATATACAGGTACATCTATAATGTACAATATACAGGTACATCTATAATATACAATATACAGGTACATCTATAATATACAATACAATATACAGGTACATCTATAATATACAATATACAGGTACATCTATAATATACAATATACAGGTACATCTATAATATACAATATACAGGTACATCTATAATATACAATATACAGGTACATCTATGATATACAATATACAGGTACATCTATAATATACAATATACAGGTACATCTATGATATACAATATACAGGTACAGCTATGATGTACAATATACAGGTACATCTATAATGTACAATATACAGGTACATCTATGATATACAATATACAGGTACATCTATAATATACAGGTACATATATAATATACAATATACAGGTACATGGAGAAAAAAATTAAATATGGGACTGAAAAGGTATATTGTATATTCTACAACATAGCTAATGAAGTGACTGAAATCTCCCATTATATGCTGCACACCCTATGAAAGCTGAAATCAGGCTTGCAGTGGAAGCCCCCCCAGGGTGTGAAAGAGGGAGGCACTGTGCTGCGCAGGAAAGAGAGAGCACAGGGTGGGGGTCATCATTGCGTTGTTTACTAGCAGACTCGAGAACAGCTAGAAGGTGTGGTAGTGGCATAGAACCACTCTCATTATATCACAGCAGCAGCGGGGGACCACAGACATATGTACACAATTTATACAGATGGACAAGACTGTTATTATATGTAATATAATGTGTCAGTGTAGAGCTTCCAGGTATGTATTACCTCTCAGAGATCAAAGGACTCCTCTTGGCAATACCTTCATCTGATTAGGACGACGCCATCTTTATTCAGGCATCGTCCAGGGTCACCATCTACTTCCAGGACTGAGATGCCGGCTCACAGTACTCTAATTCTGATGGCTGGACAGTTCTTGGCTGTGTAGGCAAATATTTGACACAGATCAGCCCCTGCTTCGGCTTCTCACCTTGTTACAACGTACAGTCTGGGAGAGGGGAGACTGAGGAAATGCTTCATCCTGCTTGCAGCAGACTGATGACATCATCTCAGCTTAGGCCAAGTCACTGACTACAGCTCATTAGCGTTGCTGAAAAATGATGCTGTTGCTGTATATTTAAAATGTTAGAATGCTATGAATGTGGACTTGAGAGGTTGTGCTGTTTTTTTTAGTAGGAGTTTCAGGCTCGGGGAACACTGGGTTAATAGATCCACCTGAAGCTGCAGATAGAAGAAAAGGCAACTGATGTGATAAATGCCACTTTTTGAGACGTCCGCCCCCCTTTTATCTGACACCCCCTCCCCCAGTGTTCCTATACCCACTTCATGGGGTGACACATCTTCTGTTCCCCAGCTGCACACCGAGAGGCCTGTGGCAGGAGACGGCCCCTTCCAGATATCCTAATGACTGCTCTTTATCTGCCTCCGAGCCGTAATTACAGCTCCCGACTGACGCACAGCGCAGTGATCTGCCTTCTCTTCCCCATCCTCCTGTAAATTTGACACTTTCTTTGTGGATAATATGTTCTAGACGGAGAAGGTCATATTATCCCGCTGTACTTTGCCTGTCTCATGATGCCACCCAACCTTCCCGAACAAAGAGTTCCATGGCAAGAGAGACTTTGAATCTCAAGTTTAATCAGCCTATATATTTTCCTTCTCTGGTTCCTCTCCCTCCTCATTAACATAAGGACATTAAAAAAAAAACAAAACCTTTCATCATTTGTCTTATTTAAGACCTAGTGATGACATCACTGGGTCTCTGTGGGTCTCTATGCAATGCAGGCAGATCATGGCTGTTGGGAGGGGCCTGGTAGGGTGCTGTAAATAGCTTCCTGAAAACATCACAGCTCCCTGCTTCAGAAACACCTCTCAAGAGCGCTGGGCCCGATGCAAGCAGTGGGAGGAGTTATGCAAATATAAAACTGCCTTGATGAATGGGGGGATCTGTCTGGAAGAGTAGGCAGTCCTCCAGCCAGGAAATGAGGCGGGGCTCTATCTGACTTGCTGCAGCTTCTAATGCACATTGTGAGAAGGTCACAGTGTGCAGTGAAATCAGAGTAAGCCATTCAGTCCAGGAGAGGAGCCGGTACAACTGTGCAAGACTGAAGGGAAGACTGAAGGTCAGCATGGGGCAAAGGGACTGAATGGAAGGCCGGAGGTCAGCCTGGGGCAAAGGGACTGAGGTCAAGAGGTCAGCCTGGGGCAAAGGGACTGAAGGGAAGGCCAGAGGTCAGCCTGGGGCAAAGGGACTGACTGAAGGGAAAGGCCGAGGTCAGCCTGGGGCAAAGGTCCAGCCTGGGGCAAAGGGACTGAAGGGAAGGCCGGAGGTCAGCCTGGGGCAAAGGGACTGAAGGGAAGGCCAGAGGTCAACATGGGGCAGAGGGACTGAAGGGAAGGCCAGAGGCCAGCATGGGGCAAAGGGACTGAAGGGAAGGCCAGAGGAAGGGGCAAAGGCTTGAAGGGAAGGCCGGAGGTCAGCATGGGGCAAAGGGAATGAAGGGAAGGCCGGAGGTCAGATGGGGCAAAGGGACTGAAGGGAAGGCCGGAGGTCAGCATGGGGCAAAAGAAATGAAGGGAAGGCTAGAGGTCAGCATGGGGCAAAGGGAATGAAGGGAAGGCTGGAGGTCAGCATGGGGCAAAGGGAATGAAGGGCCGGAGGTCAGCATGGGGCAAAGGGAATGAAGGGAAGAGGTCAGCATGGGGAAAGGGAAGAAGGGAAGACTGAAGCATGGGAAGGGAATGAGGGAAGGCTGGAGGTCAGCATGGGGCAAAGGGAATGAAGGGAAGGCCATATGGGGCAAAGGTCAGGTTAGCATGGGGCAAAGGGAATGAAGGGAAGGCCAACATGGAGAGGGACTCAGAGGCATGGGGCAAAGGGACTGAAGGGAAGGCCGGAGACCAAAGAAATGAGGGAAGGCTAAGGGAGGTCGGCATAGGGCAAAGGGAAGGGACTGAAGGGAAGGCTGGAGGTCAGCATGGGGCAAAGGGAACGAAGGGAAAGCCGGAGGTCAGCATGGGGCAAAGGGAACGAAGGGAAGGCTGGAGGTCAATGGGGCAAAGAAGAAGGAAGCATGCAAAGGGAACGAAGGGAGGTCAGCATGGGGCAAAGGGAATGAAGGGAAGGCCGGAGGTCAGCATGAGGCAAAGGGAATGAAGGGAAGGCTGGAGGTCAGCATGGGGCAAAGGGAATGAAGGGAAGACTGAAGGCCAGCATGGGGCAAAGGGAATGAAGGGAAGGCTGGAGGTCAGCATGGGGCAAAGGGAATGAAGGGAAGGCTGAAGGTTAGCATATGGGGCAAAGGGAATGAAGGGAAGGCTGAAGGTTAGCATGGGGCAAAGGGAATGGGGAAGGCTGAAGGTTAGCATGGGGCAAAGGGAATGAAGGGAAGGCTGAAGGTTAGCATGGGGCAAAGGGAATGAAAGGAAGGCTGGAGGTCAGCATGGGGCAAAGGGAATGAAGGGAAGGCTGAAGGTCAGCATGGGGCAAAGGGAATGAAGGGAAGGCTGAAGGTTAGCATGGGGCAAAGGGAATGAAAGGAAGGCTGGAGGTCAGCATGGGGCAAAGGGAATGAAGGGAAGGCTGAAGGTTAGCATGGGGCAAAGGGACTGAAGGGATGCCGTAGGTCAGCATGGGGCAAAGGGACTGAAGGGAAGGCTGGAGGTCAGCATAGGGCAAAGGGACCGAAGGGAAGGCTGGAGGTCAGCATGGAGCAAAAGGACTGAAGGGAAGGCTGGAGGTCAGCATGGAGCAAAAGGACTGAAGGGAAGGCTGGATTGCCTGAGAGCTATAGTAAAGGTCATTCATAGACGTAGCCACACCCACAATGACATCACACCCTGTCCACTTCACTGCAAGCCTGATTTCAGCTTTCACCTAATGGAATCACAATAGGATCTTATGACCGTATTAATTACCACTTCAAAAAGTTTCTTTCATAGTGATACATGATGGCGTGAAGTTATTCCACAGGTGTAAGGGAATTCTCTTCCCCGGGTATACAGTGTATAGATGTGTGTAGGTGGATGTACAATGTATTGTCTATCAGACCAGGTGGTCCAGATACTGCGAGTTCCCAGCATGCCTCTGGTTGAGCGTTGTGTCCGGACTATCCTCGTCACTGTAACAGGGGGCTGAGACTGACCGCGTCTGTTTTGTCCCCCGCTAGAGATAAGTGGTATCACATGACGCAGGAGGAGCGAGACGACAGCCTGCAATTTAACGAGAACATCACCTTCGGACAGCTTGGGTACGTCGTAGACCGCATCGCAGAATTTCCATGTATGATCACAAGGATCAGAATGATACAAATGTAACTAATTATCTATGGAAGTTATATTATTTCACTCTGACCTTATGCTGATAACAAAGCAGCCTCCCGACTCCTGAGTGCGCAGAACAGTACAGAGAACAGCCCAGCTAGTAGATGGAGCAGCAAACAGCCTGACGCCTGAGGGCACTCAGCTCTGATTGGGGTCCTCAGCTCTGATTGGGGTCCTCAGCTCTGATTGGGGTCCTTGTAGTATATTGTGTGTAATATATATATATATTGAAGACATTGAAACACATACTGACAGGCCAGTGATAAGACCACTTTTTTGATTGAAAAAGATACTTTATTACATAAGTATAAAAAACCATGATACTTGTTATCGGGGTACATCTCACCCTGTACTGCGACGCAGCGCACCACATTGCAATACAGTTCCAAGCATACGATAAATACATTCAATAAATAAATACATTCACTCAGCGGTATGATGCCTGACGTGATGTGCGTGGCGGATGAATCCCCAGACCAATACGTCATGCATAACGCCGCTTACCCCGAGACCATAGCATCCTAATACAAAGAACATTTCCTAACATTACTGAGTCATGCAAAAAAAAACGAATGTTACACTTTACAATAGGCATCGGGTGTGTGGGGGGGGGGGGGGGAAAAAGAGGGGGACACAGGCCCGAAGCTTTATTGAAGGGACAAAGACACGCAAGGGGGAGTAGGGGGAAGGGGAGATCTTCAGACCTCCTCTTCCTCCTTGAAGTCCATCAAAAGGACTCCTTACTATGTTAATGTATGCAGGAGGTAATTACCTTCCCTTTGTTGTGTTGGGTTAACCTGTTTTGGGTAAATATATGGAGAGTCAGGGGAAGTTTAAGAGCAGGTTAGTTGCAAATAGATTGGGAAATCTATTTAACTTTTTAATTAAATTCTTCCTCGGCGTCTTCACTGTTGCTTAGCCTTTGAAAAGGCTATTTGGCGTCTACTGCCCGGAGGTAGTAACGCAGAGTGGGGAGGGGGGGAAGATCACAAACTCGTTCTATGTGGGGGCTAAGCCTCAAACCCAATAGCAGCAGGCAGGTGAAGCCGAATTGAATCGAAGATCCTACCAGGCCGAGTAGAGGGTACCCCACACAGACCAAATGGCTGGGATAGATACAAGTGTTTCTCAACGTCCTAGCTGGAAGCAGGGACACCCCTAAAGGCAAGGTCCATACTACACTTGATCTTAGCCAAAAGGCCGAGAAGATGTTGTGTTAACCCAACACAACAAAGGGAAGGTAATTACCTCCTGCATACATTAACATAGTAAGGAGTCCTTTTGGTGTGTGTAAAGTGGTCTTATCACTGGCCTGTCAGTATGTGTTTCAATGTCTTCAATATATATATTACACACAATATACTACAGTCCTCAGCTCTGATTGGGGCCCTATGTAGTGTTGGTAGTTGGTCAATGTACTGCCAGCCAACTGACCTCTTTACAAGGGGATTGGTAATGGAGGATCCCAATGTGTGTCTGGGGAAAGGTTCCCTTTAAGTGAGCAATATTTTTAACCACCACAAAATATCCTCTGTTACAATGTAACCGCTATAGAATATCATCTGTTACAATGTGACCACCATAGAATATCCGCTGTTACAATGTGACCACCATAGAATATCATCTGTTACAATGTGACCACCATAGAATATCCGCTGTTACAATGTGACCGCCATAGAATATCCTCTGTTACAATGTGACCACCATAGAATATCATCTGTTACAATGTGACCACCATAGAATATCATCTGTTACAATGTGACCACCATAGAATATCATCTGTTACAATGTGACCACCATAGAATTACACAATGTGACCACCATAGAATATCCGCTGTTACAATGTGACCACCATAGAATATCCGCTGTTACAATGTGACCACCATAGAATATCCTCTGTTACAATGTGACCACCATAGAATATCATCTGTTACAATGTGACCACCATAGAATATCATCTGTTACAATGTAACCACCATAGAATATCCGCTGTTACAATGTGACCACCATAGAATATCCTCTGTTACAATGTGACCACCATAGAATATCCGCTGTTACAATGTGACCGCCATAGAATATCCGCTGTTACAATGTGACCACCATAGAATATCCTCTGTTACAATGTGACCACCATAGAATATCCTCTGTTACAATGTGACCACCATAGAATATCCTCTGTTACAATGTGACCACCATAGAATATCCGCTGTTACAATGTGACCACCATAGAATATCCGCTGTTACAATGTGACCACCATAGAATATCCTCTGTTACAATGTGACCACCATAGAATATCCTCTGTTACAATGTGACCACCATAGAATATCCGCTGTTACAATGTGACCACCATAGAATATCCGCTGTTACAATGTGACCACCATAGAATATCCTCTGTTACAATGTGACCACCATAGAATATCCGCTGTTACAATGTGACCACCATAGAATATCCTCTGTTACAATGTGACCACCATAGAATATCATCTGTTACAATGTGACCACCATAGAATATCCACTGTTACAATGTGACCACCATAGAATATCCTCTGTTACAATGTGACTACCATAGAATATCCGCTGTTACAATGTGACCACCATAGAATATCCGCTGTTACAATGTGACCACCATAGAATATCATCTGTTACAATGTGACCACCATAGAATATCCACTGTTACAATGTGACCACCATAGAATATCCTCTGTTACAATGTGACTACCATAGAATATCCGCTGTTACAATGTGACTACCATAGAATATCCGCTGTTACAATGTGACCACCATAGAATATCCGCTGTTACAATGTGACCACCATAGAATAGCCGCTGTTACAACGTGGCCACCATAGAATAGCCGCTGTTACAACGTGGCCACCATAGAATATCCTCTGTTACAACGTGACCACCATAGAATATCCGCTGTTACAATGTGACCACCATAGAATATCCGCTGTTACAATGTGACCACCATAGAATATCCTCTGTTACAATGTGACCACCATAGAATATCCTCTGTTACAATGTGACCACCATAGAATATCCGCTGTTACAATGTGGCCACCATAGAATATCCTCTGTTACAACGTGGCCACCATAGAATATCCTCTGTTACAATGTGGCCACCATAGAATATCCTCTGTTACAATGTGACCACCAAAGAATCTCCGCTGTTACAGTGTGACCACCATAGAATATCTGCTGATACAGTGTATCCACCATAGTATATATTCTGTTACAATGTAACCACCATAGAATATCCTCTGTTACCATGGAATATACTGTATTAGAATGTAATCACCACAGGATATAATCATGGCTTTATCCTAAAGCATAGGTTAGTGATAACATGCGACCACTGCTTTGTTTAAATGCATGCTGTGATATAGTGATGGTTAAAGGTGATACTAAAGGTGTTATAGAGGATATTCCATGGTGGTTACATTGTAACAGTGTATATTCTATGGTGGTTACATTGCAACAATGTATATTCCATGGTGGTTACATTGTAACAGTGTATGGTGGTTACAATGTAACAGTGTATATTCCATGGTGGTTACATTGTAACAACAATGTATATTCATGGTGGTTACATTGGTGGGTTACATTGTAACAGTGTATATTCCATGGTGGTTACATTGTATATTCCATGGTGGTTACATGTATATTTCCATGGTGGTTACAATGTAACAGTGTAATTCATGGTGGTGTAACAGTGTATATTCCATGGTGGTTACAATGTAACAGTGTATTCCATGGTGGTTACAATGTAACAGAAGATATTTCATGGGTTACAATGTAACAGTTATATTTCATGGTGTAACAGTGTATATTCCATGGTGGTTACATTGTAGCAGTGTATATTCCATGGTGGTTACAATGTAGCAGTGTATATTCTATGGTGGTTACAATGTAACAGAAGATATTTCATGGTGGTTACGTTGTAACAGAACTTGATATTAAAGGGTTTATCACAGGCGGTACAATCAGGTCCTCCTATCAGTTTTCCAGGCAGACCTGTCCAGAACCTCCATGTAAGTCTATGGACAGGCGGATGTCATCTGGTTACCTCTGCTTAGCCTGGAGTCCCTCCAGATCCTTCTCTGTTTTTCTGGACATAAATCTGAGTGATTGGAGATAGTCTGATGTCAATGGATGATCCCAACAGGGATCTGTGAATACTGAGCAGGCCTAGATGTGATGATGGTGACACCTGCCCCATCCTGCTCCTACCCAGCAGGGGATCTGTCCCCGGAGCAGACACGGCCTTTATTGTAACAACTTTCCTTTTTCTTTGTCTGCAGGACGTTCACACACAACATGCTGGCGTTCGGACTCAGTAAGAAGCTGTGCAGTGACTTTTTAAAAAAGCAAGCTGTGATCGGGAACTTGGACGAAGGTAAGGAGGGGGAGGGGGTTACCTGCAGCAGACCAAATTATGGATCATTATGCATACAAATGGTACAAATTTCTGCTTTTGGTAACAAACAATATGGCTTATTCAGTGCCTATACTGGCAGCTGGAATGAGAGTAGACAGAGAGCAGGAGAGATCCATCTGTGTTGTTGGAAGCCCATGTCACTGGGTGACAACACTGGACCACATTGGAGAGACAGGGACAGAGCGTAGTCACCCTATACCAGGAAGTGCTTAGAAAAGGTCCTTCATGGCATAATCACCAATAGATAGAACACCTTTGGGATGAATTAGAGTGGAGACTGTGAGCCAGGCCTCCTCCCCCGACATCAGTGCCTGACCTGACAAATGTGCTTCTGGAAGAATGGTCCAACCTTCCCATAGACACCCTCCTAAACCTTGTGGACGGCCTTCCCAGAAGAGTTGAAGGTGTTATAGCTGCAAAGGGCGGGGCCAACTCAATATTGAACCCTACGGACTAAGAATGGGGGCCATTAACGTTCATGTGCGTGTAAAGGCAGGGAGCCAATACTTGTGGCAATATAGTGTGTGTGTGTATATATATATATGTGTGTATGTGTATATTTACTTATTATATACACATGCATATATATATATATATATATATGTGTATATATATATATATATATATATATATACATACACACTCATCAACCACTTTATTAGGTACCCCTTGCTAGTGCCAAGAAAATACCCCCCCCCCCCCCCCCATTACACCACCATTACCACCCACCACCACCAGCCTGAACCATTGATACAAGGCAGGATGGATCCATGCTTTCATGTTGTTTACGCCAAATTATGACCCTACCCTACGAATGTCGCAGCAACCAATTTGCCCATTCTCCTCTAACCTTGGATATTTTCTCTTTTTCGGACCATTCTCTGTAAACCCTAGAGATGGTTGTGCATGAAAATCCCAGTAGATCAGCAGATTTTGAAACACTCAGACCAGCCCGTCTGGCACCAACAACCATGCCACGTTCAAAGTCACTTCAATCCCCTTTTTTTTCCCCATTCTGATGCTCGGTTTGAGCTTCAGCAAGTCGTCTTCACCACGTCTAGATGCCTAAATGCATTGAGTTGCTGTGTGTGTGTGTGTGTGTGTGTGTGTGTGTGTATATAATATATATATATTTTTGTATGTGTGTATATATTAATTTATTTTAAATAAATGTCTGCGTTCTTTAAAAAAAAATTATAATACATTAAATACATATTATTAATGTTAGTACATATATTTATGAAAAATAAATGACCTTGTACCTATTATAAATATATTATAAATCAAATAAATTGTTTACTTATAATAAATACTATAAATGAAATGTCTGCGTATTTTGCAGTTTTTTAAAAAAAAATTTGGCACATTTTGTTTGCAGAGAAATATAAACAGCTCACAGATCACATCGAAATGGCAGTGGAGTAGCGCAAGGGGAGGAGCCAGTACCCCTAACACACATCTCAGTATTGAAAAGAGGGAGTTTCAAGAACGCTGAAGATCTGCATGCTGTCTTTTTGCCGCCCTTCTCTAGAGACTGATATTTGTCTGCGAGGACAAGCGTGGGTGGGGGAGGGCAAAATACAGGTGGGGGGAGCTGTAAAATTGCTGCTCTACAGCCCCCTCCAGTGGTGGAGGAACTGCAGGTCTCAGCATTCTCTGCCAGCCTGGGACTTGTAGTTCCCCGACCCCTGGGCAGCTTCTGGTCGCTTGAGCATGCTGTAGAGTCTATATTTTCTGGAATAGTCTTTTGTCTACTACAGAGATCAGAGTATTTATTAGAAGTGTTGTCTGTATATTTTGGATCCGCAGTGTTCTCGGGGGAGAGAAATACATTCTTTATTTTTTTATGAGCAGGATCAGAGGGAGTTGAGCCCTGTCCCCCTCTGAGTGTGCCGCACACCGCAGCTGGGACATGGCCGTGATTTTAATACGTCTCGTAGATCTGGGAACGTCTCCTGGATCGCTTTCTTGTGACTTTTGGTGTTTCTAGGTACAGTGAATAGAATCATAGTTCAAATGTATGGATGTTTGAGCTGTATACTCATTTAATGACCAGTACTTTGTCTTCAAGGAATTTGACTACTGCACAGAAAACGTTTTTGTTTTGTTTCTGTGAAAGGAGATGTGGGAGCGGGAACGCGGCAAACAGATGGTTTTCAAAGGCGCAGTTTTAAAAATGTTACATGGTAATTTGCGGCCTCGAATTGTTACAGTGAGCTAAACACATTCCAAGTATCTCAAACCAAAAGCTGTGCAAAGTCTTAAAAATCTGCTACGGAGTGGAAAAGCCAGTCCCTTGGCAGCATGCTGTAGAGAAAGACCCGTGCGCTCTGTGTGGAAGCAGTGGTCTCTCTGCTGCGGTCCATCATGTCCCCTGCTGAGTCAAGAGCTAGAGGTATCCAGTCAACAGGAAGCATGTGGTCTGCTGATGGGATAGAAGGGGGATTTGTTGGACTGGTGCAGAGAGACTACTGCTTCTGTACAGGGCTCCTTCTCTGCAGCTGCTAGCAGGCTTTTCTACTTAGGCTGTGGCTACTTTAAAAAGAAAACCAACTCTAGACGTTGAACAGATTTTGATTTGATGCAGCTTGAATGTATGTAGCTGGTTTAAACTGAGGATTCAATTATTGTTTAATTTATCTGTTACTTTGTTCAACAATGATCAGCAATCAGCTACATTCTTCATCCAATTGGCGCTTCCTTGGTAGTTGGCAGGATTAAAGTGGACCAAGCTCAGTAAGGTTCACGTCAACCGCTCTCGCCGTAAGGAATCTCTATGCTGAAGGGAAATCTCTGTGTCATTAGCAGACATGATATTGTTATAGGGAAGGAGGGGGGGGGGGATTACATGGCGTCTCTATGCGGCCCCCTCCCCTCTGATTTTGGATCAGTTTCCCCTTTTATCTAAGTGCCCCTCTCCAGACTGGAGCTCCTAGGATGGCACGGGTTAAATCCCTTCCCAATCCATTGCTGTGTGTGCGGTTTGGAGGGAGATTATCGCTTGCACAGGAGATCAGCCGCTTACAGATAATGGGCAGAGATCTCTCTGTCATACCGCCGCGTCACTGACTGCTGCTGATGCTGACACTGAAAATAGAAGAGTATCTTGCCGAGACATTGCAGACACTCGGCGCCTCTGGAAGAAGCTTTCTGAATTTTTTTTTTTAATGCAGTATTATATAACCCATAATGATGGCGGCACGGTGGGGAGGGGGATGGAGTAATGTCTTCCAGCGCAGAAGCAATGTGAAAAACCTGCTGAACGTGGCTGAAGTGCATACATCTTAGAAGAAATTTGAAAATATATTCAAGTCTGTGATAGATTTTTGCTGCCTGAAGTTTAAATAAATGGTTCGCATTAGAGACCGAAGAAACAGGCTGTTGATCCATGTTTTTAATGCCCCGCCCCCGTCCCCACCCCACCCAGACCACCACCATCCCCACCCAACCCAGACCACCATCCCCACCCCATTTCACCCACCCAACCCAGAGCACCATCCCCACCCCACTCCACCCACCCAACCCAGAGCACCATCCCCACCCCACCCAACCCAGACCACCGTCCCCACCCCAGACCACCATCCCCACCCCACCCACCCAACCCAGACCACCGTCCCCACCCAACCCAGACCACCGTCCAGGTCCAGTCACATTGCTGCAGCACCAATGCTTTGTGGTGTAGCAAATTTAAATAGATTGCCTTTACAGAAAAAATATAAAGTTGAAGTAAGACCATACAATTTCCCCACCTTCACCCCCAGTCCACGCTGGACTTACCTCTGTGGATGATGAGCTGTCAGTGGCCAGCGCATGTAGCAGTCGGGGGATTTGAAATCTCTGCTTCTTCTCCTTTTCTGAGCAGTGCTTTTTAGACGGACCAGAGTGATTCTGATTGGTCAGCACCATCACAGTGATTCACTCTGATCCATCCTGGAAGCGCTGCACAGAGAAGAGCAGGGATTTCAACTGGCTCTATGGGCACCAACAGCTCATCACCCACAGAGGGATTCCTAATGGAAACACTGAAGTCACTGGGACCGCGACACAACAAAACACTTGGCACACCGGTGAAATGTGCTATTTCAATGTGAAAGTACCCTTGGGATTGAAAAAAAAAATTTTGCCTCCTAAACACCTGCAAACCTCTGCTTAGCTGCCTCTGAAAAGCAATCCAACATGGCCCGCTTTTCAGAGGGGGGGTGAAGTTTGCTGCTGCTGTGAAAGGGGACTTAATGGGCAGTTTTTTGAAAATTAAAGCAGAGCTAAACCCTAAAGGGGAATCCTTTTGGATTTAAAAAAAAAGGCAATTTTGCCACCTAAACACCTGCAAACCTCTGCTCAGCTGCCTCTGAAAAGCAATCCAACATGGAACACTATTCAGATGGGAGGGGTAAAGTTTGCTGCTGCTGTGAAAGGAACTTAATGGGCAGTTTTTTGAGAATTAAAGCAAAACTAAACCTTAAAGGGGAAGTTTCTCTTTTTGCTCTTCTATTTTTGGTACTTTTTTGGGGGGAAGGGACTAAAGTGTGGGTACATTGTTTTGACACCACCGGAAGTTCTTCTCCCCCCACATGCAATCCTCTAGGACACATCACAGGTCCCAGAAGGCTGCAGGACCATTCACAAAGTGCAGTGCAGCTTGCTCATGTGCGGCGGGCAGCCAGCTCCAAGGAATCACAGCCGGTTGCCCACAGTAAACATGCCTGTGCCAGCGACCCGAAGACCAGCAAGGAAGCAGCCCTGGTGAGGTCACCCGCTGGGCCCCTGAACAGATAAATGTCCTTTTATTAAAAGTCAGCAGCTGCTGACTTATTTTGTTTTCAAACAGGGCAAAGAACCACTTTAAATGGCTCGATGGTGTAGGAGCAAGATGATCTATGGAAGCTCGGGGGTCCATATGGCACCATTCCAAAAGATTCGTGGGTCAGCAACGCTGCATGGCTGTAGTTTAAAAAAAAAAAAAAAATAAATATATATATATATATTTATTTTATTTATATATATATATTTTTTTTTTTTTTTTTCCCGTATTATTATTTATTTTGCACCAATCAACAGGATGATATCCCGCTCTTAACTTTCAAATTTGGAGTCTAATGAAGGGTTGCAGCACACGTCAAAAAAAGTTTTATCGAGAGGATTCAGTAAAACCTTGTATGTGGAATTCTTTCAAATCAAACTTCTGAAATGTGCTGGAACTTTCATTTTGATATACATGGTATATATTTATATAAAGCAGGGGTCTCCAAACTTTCAGCAAAGGGCCAGTTTACTGTCCTTCAGGCTTTATGGGGGCCGGACTGTGGCCAGTGGGAGTAGAAAATGCCCTGGCATCAGTGCCCCATCCTTTCCTGTAAAGGGAGGAATAGTGCCCCATTGTTTATCAATGAGAAGAATAGTACCCCATTGATGGTTCAGTAGGGGGAATGGAGCTCCATCATTGGTATCAGTTGGTGGAATATTGCTGAAAGGCCAGATAAAGGCATGCAAAGGGCCACATTCGGCCCCTGGGCTGCAGTTTGGAGACCACTGATATAAAATGAAGCCTGGAGTTCCCCTTTAAAGTCTTCTGACTCCATTGTATACCTGTATACAATTTTTACCGTTCTTGTGTTTCGTTTTTTTTTTTTTTTCTTGGACTTGCTGCATTCCCGCTCTGGACGTGTCTTCATCTCTATGTAATGACTGTGATATTGTTATTCTAATGCTTGGGGGCCAACTGGACTCTGTGGACTGTGACGTTTTGAAGTATTATGGGGGTCAGTCGCTTTGTGCATTATTTTGTATCCATTTGCTCCGTGTCGTTGTCTGTACCTTTAGCAGTGACGGGTCTGTAAAGGGTGTTTGAATTTTTTGCGTTGTCTGAACAAGTTGTGCTTTGTTCGTGGCGATTGTGTGAGTGTGCGCACGTTTATGCGCGGTCATATTAACGGATACCTGAGCTTCTGATTTAAAGGGATGTTACCACTCAAATAATGAAAGTTGTCACAAAGGTCGCTTTTCTCTTTTTGGCTGTTTTTAATATCAGTCGGTACAGGTTACAAATTGCATATCTATGGGAATCCTTCAACCCGTACCAGTGCCACCTGGCCAGCTGATTTTGAGGACGAATTGATCAGCTGGGTTGTCATTTCCAGGCAAGGATGGTGGGGAGGGCAGGGGGGGAGGGGTTTGAAGGTGAGTGTTGGGCCTTTGTGAGCCTGCGTATTCCTGTGCCAAAACTTCTATAGGCAGGGGGAATCCTCCATATTGTGTCTTTGAGCACATTTAGTTCACCTCTTGTGTTCACCAGGAACACAATCTCACTTCAAGGCTGCAGCTAAATAATGAAAATAAGGGAGATTAATAGTGTGTTTAGAATAGAACTGGCTGCTCAGATTTTCTTTTTTCAAGTACTGAAAAACAAATCATGAATGTTTTGAAGC